TTGTACTGCCATAGAAGTTGCATCAAAGTTGGAAAATCACAGTTACATGGGTGGAAGAGGCCCACATTTTAAAGTGTGTGTGCACACCAAGTGAATGGAAAGATTCAGGTATAAAAATTCCACCTGACATTTGATCACGCTGGCTTTGCTTTTTTAACTTCAGAGCTCACTTTTTAGTCGTAACGATGGGTCCCCCTAGTGGGTAAATCCAAAATAGATGAATTGTATCCTTTATTTTTCTCTTAACACTGCAAAGTATCACATTTGATTACGAAGTGGAAGCCGCTGCTTGTAGAAAAGTAAGCACAAAAAGGTATGGTTAACTTTTGTGCAACTTTTTAAAACACAAAGCACAGCCGCAAAGATGATTATTCCTACTGAGCTGGTGCACTAGGCAATCAAGTAGCCTCCTAAATACTAGGATTTAGAACAAGAGTAATAGAAATAAATTTACATTACCCTGGCTAGGCTGTAATCAGTTCGTCAGGGAAAAAAAACTGTGTGGAAAAGACAACACATTTTAACTTTTTTTTTTTTTTTCACAGAAATGAATCACACTAGCACATTTCCAAGCCATGAAATTCAGTGTTTCACAAAGAAAAGAATGAGATGCTGTTAGCACTGCAACTATTTTAAAAGATGTGGCAGCCATTATAAACAGGTACGATTAGTTCACTCACTCAGCTCCAGACATCAGCATCTATTTTATTAGCTGAAGAAGTCTTCATTAGGATAGCAGGAGTTACAGCTTGCTCTTTTAAACGTAACGGCGAAGTAGCCCCACCCCCAATGGAAGCTGAAGAACTGACTTGATGACTTTTTCAGCGTCTTTTTAAGGGAGCTCTGTTATGAGCTATATTAACTAGTGTTCTTTACTAATTTAATTGCACTTTACTTTTTGCCGGCAATTCTTTTATTGATATATAGAGCAATCAAAAATACCATACAGACAATTTACGACTTTCCATTTTTTCCCTCCTTGGCACAGTACATTGCTGTAGTTCTGACCTGTACTGTATAGATCTCCCTTTCACTAACTAGGAGTATGAGGTGGTTGGTTTAGATCTTTTTACCCCATCACAACTGGATTAAAAAGACATTTATTTTATGAGTTTTCACAACTCCTTTTCCAATGGGTAACTGTTTTCTAAGATACTCCTTTTTTATCCTCTATTTACACTTATAGCTGGGACAGTCACTGTGTTGCAACCTCTCTGACTCCAGTAGAGGACTGAGAAGGGCTCCTGCGAACACCTGGGAAAGCCTTTGAAGAAGGCAAAGGTTACAGAGCTTGGTGTAAATTACTGCAAGCTTCTGCTAACACAAATTGTCCAAAGCCTTTTCACACCAATAAAGCAGGCTTTGTCATCAGTCAAACTTCAAGGCCATTTCAGAAAAAAACCCCCACCCCAAGCCCAAAAAAAATCCAGAAAAACAGTTTCAAAAGTTCATGAAATTATAACTAAAAAAATGCATTCATAATTATGCTCTGCAATAAAAAATTATCTAGCTGCTAAGAGCATTTCTGCAAAACATTCTAGGCAATCTTTTCTAGTGTTGTCAAGCTCTAAACTGATCTCTCTTAGTAAAGCAGCCCTTTCCTGCTAAGCCCAGTTTTTATTCCTTTCAGAGGCATGTTTTAAAGGAATTGTTCTTCCTTTGAGATTCCTTTAAATAGCCCTTTATAAAAGAAGCAGTTTTCAAACTAGTAAGGGCTAAAAAGTGGCAAATACAACATCCACTGCCTAAACACTCATATGCTGTTTCAAAAAGACCTACATATGGAAATTTCCCACTTATATATTCTGAGAGCTATCACTTCTAACTGCTACTAACTGCCAATGTGTTCGGTTCGCTTATCAACAGTTTTGCAGTAGATGTACCATTTGTGCTATCATAAAAGTAAGATACTTGCAGATTTTCTAGAAGTATACGAAGCTTCTGCTGATTTTCTGTTAACATGTGTGACAACTCACTAGGATTGTCTGAATGGATTTGTCCAGATTTTTCCCTTGGTGTGCCTTAGGGAAGGTGGAAGCACTGAAAACATCGACCTCTTTTTCCATCTGTGGAATCATTTTTCTCTTTTACACTCAAGAATGAAAACATTCTCAGCATCCCTACAGACATACTTCAGTAGCAACTACAGAAAATGAGTTCTGCAAAAGTTTTGTCAGTGCCAGCCGCTATCTTGCAGAAACTATTGACCTAGCGGAAAAGGCAAAGAAAAATGCAGCTATCACTTCAGGTAAGGTTCTTTGTGCAGCAAGACAAGTTGCAGTCACAGCTATCACCTGCTTACTATCAGGACCCAGTTTGACCAAAACAAATCAAGGGTTGCTTACATGAGCAGCACATCCATCAGACATGAGTCCACAAAAAATCTCCAGCTATTGGGTTATGAGGGGTTATGAGGAACTACAAGCAAACTATGGGGCAACTGGATTTAGTGCAACTGTCCTTATCCTCTGTTCTTGTGTAACTTAAGATCAAAACTTCTGCTAACAAAATTTACTAATCTGCAGTATCCCAGAACTATACATACTGCAAAACTTCCTTAAGATAGAGTTTAAAAGTTGAAGGATTTTTCCACACTCTTCTTCATGCCTTAACCACCACACATAACCTCCTACAATGCCAGTCTCAAGTGAAGAGTCTTCCTGAGCTGCAGCCATGGTTCAAGAAGTGATGATGCATCCATGAGCTCTACTATGAACTTGGGAACCCAGGGACAGAGATCAATGTGGCTCCAGATGCCCTTCCCTGTGGGCTGCCATTCCTCTCACACAAGCCTGTGGCTTAGCACAGGGGCCTTGTCCTTCTGCTCCAAGTTCAGGGCCAGCTGGGTCTCTTCACAGTGCATCTCTGCTCACCTCTGCCTTCACAAACTGTCTCTTTGGCCTCTGCTGTGCTGGCAACCGAGTTGTCGTGGCTTTCCTTTTCCTCTTTGTCAAGCTCCAAGGGCATGGTTAAACCAGGTTCTACCGCATATGGTAAAGACAGGTACACCACCAGAGCACCCTGGAGGCGCTTCTCAAGTAGAGCCTCGACATAATGAGGCACATGTAACCTTAACATCTGCTGAGTGTTAATGACTTAACTGCCACAAACTTTCCCATGACTAATCACAAACCAAAAGTGTTTGATTTGACAAACTTAGTAAGTAAAAGACTGCTCTAAAATAAGCCAGCAGAGTAACATTTGGTGTAAGCTGCACTCCGAATGGTATTTTTATTCATTTGGAGGTTCTCAACTTCCTCAAAGTTGCATGGGATTAATAAGGTAAGTGAAGGACTGTTTGGCACAGTTATAAACTGTTGTTACTGTATAAGCTCTTAACAGGAGGCTCCAGTGCATTTCCATGCAATGGATTATGACATTCCCTTAGCCAACATTTTCAGACTTCTACTAAACATCACTATCCTCTATAGCAAAGGTGACAGAGGCACATTTGTTCCAAGTACTTCAGACCAGACCTTGTTCTTTTAACACTAACCCACCTCTGCAGGCCTAGAAATAAGGCACACACTCAACAGCACGGTTTTCAAATGTGTACTCATGACTGCT